TGTGTGTGTGTGTGTGTGTGTGTGTGTGTGTGTGTGTATAAATATATAGTCTCATGACTTAGAAATTGCAAAGAAATAAAACCTATATAGTACTAGCCCAAATATTAGTTCCATATAGCACTATTATTACTTTCTCTGGTTACACTAATACCATTTTACTTTGGAAAACTACTCTTTAAAAGCATAATCGCCATATACATTAAAAAATACGTAGATTCCAAAATCAACAATTCACCACAGAAGCTGGAGTACCTGGTAATAGCAACACTGAAGGTTTTGAGGTTGCTGGATAATGTAAGAGCATATTAATAAGTAATTTTATATTAAGGATTACGATGTGATATAGATAATGGTAACAAGCCAATGGTATCACTTAGGACCAACTGAGTTATGCTGTAGTAGCAAACAATTTCCAGTTCTCAATGGCTTAACACAACAAAAGCTTATTTTTTTGCCCCTGCGAAGTTGTCTGGGTGTGCTGGCAACTAGCTCTCCCTGTGCTGGCTGAGAGCCAGGCTGTTGTGGCACCTAAAGATCAACATAATTCCACATTTTGATGGCAGGAGAGTGCCCTGGAAAATCTCACAACAGTTAAATGCTCACGTTTTATTGGCCAAAGCAAGGTGTATGGCCACAATACCTCCACCTCGAGTGTGCACAGAAATGGGAGAAAACCAAAAATATTGATGAGAAGCATTAATGTCTACACACTCGTCCACCTCTCCAAGGAAAACTCTAGAGGAGATATGAAAACACGTAGGAAAAAGTTACAAGACAGGGTACTAATGTATTGGACAGAGTATCTAAGAGAAGTATAAAACCATAGGTTGACCTCAATTGACTTAAAAACAAACAAATCATACAAACAAACTAACCCCCCTCAGCTTAACTATCTAACTTCCCACCTCCCTCAAAAACACTTTAAAAAGAGAATGAATATAGAAAGTAATATATGATCTGTTTGGTAGCTCAATGTATTTTCAGATTAAAATGTTACATTTTTTAAAACATAAAACTAGGGAAAAGAAATTTATACATGAAACTGTGCAATAAGGAAATGGCTCATTAATCACTTTCAATTAAACGTTAATATAAAACACAAACAGAAGCTTCTTTGTTTTTCAAATATTGAGGCGAGATGGTCAATGGTTCATGCAGAGTCATTTTAGTATAAGTCTTTATCTAGCTCAGAAAACAAAGTAAAAACCTTTGAAATTTTTAATGAAAGATTTTAAAGGAGGAAGCTATCTTAGGCAGGAATTTGAAGTATTGCATATTCTTCTGTATTTGATACTTGAACAGAAAACTCCTGAGGCTTAACCCTAAAGTTTCAGTGGAGATTCATTTTTTTAAAAGGGCTACCAAGGGGATAGTTCATCCTCTGTCATCAGTTTAATAATGATTCTGAAACTACTGTAATTACTTCCAGGACCTAAAAGCAGGGCAGCATTATGGCTTTAATGGACCCTAAGCACTTTGTGGGCCTCTTTGTTCATAAAAGAATTAAAAATTATATTTTACAATTCTTTTGGTATAATACAGACTGGATTATACTTTCTGATCTTAAAAGAAATTAAGACATCTTCATGGACCCCTAAAAGTATTGTGGGCCCTACACATTGTGCCTAATAGATACTTGGACCCTGGCTAAGAACATACTGCCAAGTCAAGCAAGAATTACATGTGTTCATTGAATAGACTATGGCTTACAGAGGAAAGATTCCTCCATCCCGTATTATCAGTGATGTGTATAAANACACACACACACACACACACACACACACACACACACACACACACAGAATCTGGTCTGATCTGTTTTCAGGTACCTGGTCATCAGCAAATTTTAGAAGGGCGGCCATGGGGTCCGCTCCAGGAGAGAGCACAAAAATCAGTGGTGCACAGCAGTTACTATCTGCAAATGCCTTGGATAAGTCAAAGGGGGGTGGTTCAATGAATACACGCCCCAGCTTGTTGATTATAAATTCTTGCACCATTGGAATAACCTAGAAAGGAGAAAGAATATATTTGAAAGGACACTGAAAATATGCATAACACCTTCAAAAGTTCAGAATCAAGGGAGTTTTAAAACAGAGGACCCTAGCGGCATTTGTTTGGGTGATCATGAATGTTGGTGGAGAGTCAAAGGCATCGCTTTATATAAATGCCTGTTAGATAGAAAAATGCTATAAATATTTAAATATTGAATGGTGGGTGGTTAGTGACACCAGAATTTGAAGGCATTTTTCTTCCTTTTAATGTGTATTCAACACATAATGGATGAAGAATATAAGAAACATTAACTTTTTTTAAAAATGTTTTTATTGGCGAACAGCTATGGTCATTGGTTACACATTGCTTTCATGCTACTGGGTTGTCAGAAAAGTCATGATGCATTTTTGCAATGAAAAACAGAAAAAAAATGTCATGACTTTTCCGACAACCCAATACAATGGCACAGTTGACTCTTTGAAGGAGGGTGCAGCTCACGGTGGCCCTTGCAGGAATCGAACCAGCAACCTTGGTGTTATCAGCACACTCTAACCAACTGAGCTAACCGGTCACCCCAAGAAACCTTAACTTTTTATTTAAATTTTAAAATACTATGTTCCAAAGTCCAAAACTTAAAAGTAGAAATTTTAGTGAGATTTATGCAATACTATACCATCAAGAAAGAACAGATATAGCTGGAAATTTTCTTTTTTTAAATCACTGCGAAAAAAAAAACAAGCCATACTCTTGTGAAACAGGCAAAACTCTACTGCATGAAATTTCTGATAAAATGCCTGCACATTTTCTGGAAGCATGTTTGAGAAAGAACAGAACTCCATGGCTAGGGGGTTTCTATGATGTAGGATGGAATTGTATTTATCAGTACACCTGAGGTACAGCTTCAGATACATAGCTCCTTCTTTCTCATGAAGGGCCATCACTTCATCATTTCTGGGCAACAGCACCAGCTAATCACGACTCAGGTGTGACCCAAACAAGTGATAAAAGTAGATTTAACAAACAAGTATCCCTGTGTCTAGCTTAACAAATTATGTAAGCATAACTCAGGAAGAGGAGGAATGGAGTGACAAAAACATAAAGAATTTTTTGAAGGCCTCAGAACCACTCCAAGTGGATACCTGCTCATATCCAAGGATGGAATTGTGTGTATGCACAACACTCCACATTAGGTTGGGAATCCCACCAGCCTGCAACTTTTTCTGAACTTGGAGCAAATTGCAGGAACAATTTGCAGATGCCAATTATCTCAGCAAGATGGTCTCCTCTGGAAAAAGTTACAGGTATTTCCAAACTTTAATTGTGTATTCTCCGGAAAATCTATTCACACAAGGTTTTTAAGTAAAGGT